GTGCACATCAGAGCTTGCCTTAATTTTCGTCCTCTTATCCCCATCTAGCGTCAGTTTCTACTTGGGTAGCACCACATTCATTCCGCGTGTTGGACGCACGAACATTGTTCATAATGTACCTTAAAGAACTCCCGTCACCCTCCCCTTCCGATCCAATAAAACAACGTTCTGAACAAGCCGACCTTTTTATGCAGGTGGCGTGAGAATGAGGTGACTAGCAACTTCCCCGTACTTCCCTCGCTTGTGCCGAACACCATATAATTACTTCAAATGACTGATAATTTCACTTCCTCTGTCGTTCCCTCTGAAAACATATGTTCGCCAACCAAACTTTGTAATACTTTGTTTGGTATCACAAGGCAAGCAATTAGCGTTACTGTAAATACCCACCTTTAACTACATATCTTTTACGGACAGCTCTCATTCCCCTTAACGTAGATTTCTTTGCGCAATCTTCACTTCTGCGGAATAAGTAAGCTCATCGACAAATATATATTCTTCCCCATGATCTCCTGCCATCCGTAGGCTTAATTGTGTATTCGACATTTTCTGATAAAGTGCGACTTGTACGTACATATTTTTATCGTTCGCTTTTAACGCCTACTCGGTCAATTTTTTATAGCAGACTAGTTGAATGAACCAGCGATGAAAAAGTTTAGAATCAACTCAGGAGTCGAACCCGTAACAGTAAGTGTGGGTGAAAGAAATTCAAATATTGTATTCAATACCTCGAGCTTACTTTATTACAGCAACAGCACTACTAAAACCATGATACTATCTCCGGATATCATAACGACGGCTTCACGTTTGTAATTCAAATCGATAGGCCAACAAACGTAAAATTTCAGAGCCTACAACTTTCTTATTCAACCCGATTAATTTGCCTCACCTTTTTGCCTCCCTCCAATGACGGCGCGCCATCTTCGAGGCTTCAGATTGTGCCGGAGTGGTAAATGTTTTCCATAAGCCGTTTAAACTCGTGCACATGTAGACACTTTGAAAAAGCTTGCAGTAGTTGTTTGCATATGATAATGATTATGTTTTATTGTTTCGCTTTTTAGACCGGTCGTTGCAGTCAGTTCAAAGTAAGCTGCTGTTTAAAAACCAGACATATAAAACCGACAATCTGTTCAGAATTCAAGAATTTCATACAAGTTTACCATGTCTCTGAGTCTGTCGGCTTGACATCCGCCTAATAATGCATAGGTTTTGCTAAACTACCTCTTAATCCGGCTTGTAAGAGATGGTAGGTTCCGAAACTTCCAAAGTATCATTGGACGAAACCCTTACAATTATTTTGCCGTAGGCAGTGTCTTTCCAAACTACTTACTGTGTTACACAGACACTTTTGTCGCTGATATGTGCGTATGCGGTTCGCAGACATTTCTCCCTCACAAAAATCTCAGACCTTTATGAAGTGCTTTAAATAGTGGCGTGCATTATTAAGAATGTCAACGTTTTTCTGCAAGGTCTCATAATTATTTTTTTGTTTGTTTGCCTTCACTTTTTATTTTAAAATTTATTTTGTGAAACCTAGATCTAACGGCTTGCTCTGGGCCTGTACAGTCACAACAACTTGCCTGCGAGACTGAGCAAGCGGGGGCACCAAAAGACATTCTGTTAGCCGTTGCTGAGCTGCAGAACTTGACAGGTTTTTGGAAACTTGAGGCCGGATTGGCTGACCTCCTTGACGGTCAACTAGAGGAGCTGAAGTCCAAGAAGCCACAAAAGTGTGAGTATGAAAACTTCAATCTTCTTCACCTTAATTTACTCTCAATGCTTGCATTTTAAACGTGTTGCAATCAAGTGTTTGTAATAATGGTAATATTAGTATAATGTAGGCTTGTCATCGTTAGTGTTTGGATACTGATAAATTATAGGGTGTACAAAGTTGACTGGCCTAGTTGGGATCATTTATAACCGCAATACCTGAATGTTCTAGCGATGCTCTAACTAGAAAAAAATATAGATGTTGAGTATCCGGTAGTGAAAAAAGGAACGTTACAAAATCCTTTCTAACACGCGTCCTCGTTTAGCTTAATTCAATTATAGTCAAATAGTGCCTCCAAGTGCCTTCGACTCGCCTAGTAAGGATCATTTATAAACACATAAACAGAACGTTCTACAAATGCTTTACCTATACAAATATACAGATTGGGCAGCGCGACATGCAAAATTCCCCAATTTAAAAACGACCGGTAATTACTCGCAAAACAACATTCAGTAGGGTTGCAATACTGTTTATTATGCGATCCAAGTTCAATTATTTTCAGTCACCCTGTGATGCTGACTCTGTGATAGGCTTCTTTTTGACCGCTGCGAACAAGTTGATTCTCTAAAAAGGACAACTTAAATAGGAGGCATTTGTATCATTGATTTTGACTGTTTTTATAAATTCAAATATATTTAATAGAAAACATGCATGAAAAAATACTTTCTTGTACTTATTTTATAGACAATTTCGCCTGCTGTTAGTAGGCTAGAAGCAAAGCTGGCTAGGAAGCACAAATAATTAGAATCAGAATGGTTGTTTTTCATCCCTTTTTAAAGCACGCTCTCTCCTGTTGCAGTGAGGGCTCTGGAAGATAAATTCACAAACTTTGGTGTGTAACAGCTGGCTGAGAAACGGTCTTCCATTTTTTGTCTAGAAGAATCATCTTCTTTCGCCTATCCAGTTGCGATACATGGCAATTGTTTCACCTACTGATTCAAATAATTGTAGGGAAAGATGATTGCAGCAGATTTGCATATGCTGTCCCTTTGCAGAATGGGCATCCGTTATAAATGCTCCAAGCATGCTCTTTTCATAATGGGATGCGATTTGATAGGCTAGATCTGACGGCAGGCGTCACACACACAGACTTTGACAAAATGTTCTGTTTTCGGCACTAGTGGGAAAATGCTAATTGTGCCCCCGTAAAACTTCTACGAAACTATTTTTGATTTGATCACCACTAATATAAACAATTAAAAGGGGCTCTGATCGGGTCACCCCTATCTGTATTCCTTGCCGAAATAACTATGCAGAGGCAAAAATCAATGACCATTCCATCGATTAACCCTGAGTTATGGGTACTGTATGTAGACAACAAGATTGTTGTCGTTAAAAAGGACCACATTGAAGCGCTCCACAAGATCATCAACTCAACCATTCCGAGCATGCAATTCACGCTCGAGAAAGCGGTTATCAACAAACGCCCAACTATGGATTTTCTCGAGCGGCAAAATGTTGACGGAACATTACAAACGTCCGTTCACCACAAAGTAACCTATGCGGAACTTATTCTTACCTATGAGAGCAACAACCCCATTTCTCACAAAAGGAGTGCCGTCAACGATCTGCTACTTCGAGCGAAGGTACACTGGTCTGACAAACAAACCTACCGAAACGAGCTCAACTAAGTGTTTGAATTGTTTTCCCGAAAATGTTATCCCAGAGGCTTTGCACGCCGATGCATGGGACAACAAAAAATACCAACAAAAAGGAACTATATAGTCCCACTCAGGCGCCCAAAACAAACACATGGCGAATTCTTCCTTTTATAAGGAACATGTCTGAACTACTTGAAAGACATTTGCAGAAACACCACAAAAACTGGCGCACAAACCAGTGGCTGCTTTACGCACTCAGCTAGTGCACCCTAAGGAAAGGGTTGGTTACCTCGACATGGAAGAAGCCATCTATAAAAACCCATGTGGATCTTGTGATACGGTATACTGTGGCTAAACAGGAAGATCAGTCTTCACGCGCATCCACGAGCACCAAGTGGTAGTGAAGAGATGTGACCGTTTTTTGGAAGTGACTATGCATTGCATTGAGACAGGACATACGTTTGCATGAAAAAAGAACGCATCGTCGGAGGTTGCCCCTCCAAAAAAGGCCAAGAATTTCTTGAGGACATGCACTCCGATGATTCCTGCATCAATCGGCGTATCAAATTAGTTGGAGGTGGAAGAGACTGCTGCTGAAAAACGTGGACCAAAATGCACCGCAATTAGCTTCCAAACCCGATGACCTAGATTGACCCCAAACTGACTCAAATTATAGTTGCCAATTAGTCATCACGCCATTGCGACGGCTAATTATGTCCACCACGATGTGACGCAAATTACAACTTCCAATTAACGCACTTTGAAATGCTGACTGTTGCTTGCAATTTTTTGTCAAGTCTGACGACAACCTGGGGATCCAGTTTTGAAAATGTACTGAATAAATGTACTCATCTTCCCAAAGGACGCCTTTCCTTGAAATTAGATTTTTCAGTTTATTTGGTGAGGATAATAGGCAAACCCTATTGATGACATGCCGGTGCGTTTAACGTGTACACCTACAAAAAATAACCACTACTTACATAGTATTGGAAAACAGTCAGTAGCATTGTTTTTTTTACAATAAGTCTGGTGTTTCGAGTTCAGAGTTGGAGGGAAGAGAGGGGACGCATGTAATTATCCAAGCGTTGTTTGTACAACTGAAGGGCAACGGCCTCGACGACTGACTGCGGAAGGTTGTTCCACTGTTGTATAGCACGTTGCGTGAAGAATTCAGAGCGGACGTTTAGCTTGGACATCTTCGTGCGCAGATTCACTGTGTGCCCACGGAGATGAGGCGAGAGGTGCCACTGAAAAATGTGCTCAAAGCGTAATCCTTTCTCAAGACCGTTTATTATCTTGTAAACTAGGATA